GTAGAGCGCATATCTCTGCCCACCGCCAATCTCTCTCTATTAAAAAAAAAATTCTCAAAAACAATGTTCTTACTTTCCAACCACCAACCACAATCTACTTTAAAAAAAAATTACACTAACACGGGAATGTTATTTAGATGAGTTGTTTAGTGTTTAGATATCTGATCTTCGACGTTTTGCTTTGAATGGTTCATAATCGACACCAAAATATAATCACTTCACTTTTCTAACGCCTTTTATTGTATAAGTTTTACTCTTATAACTGGCAAACAATATATTCATGCAATATTTGTGTTGAAATGGAAATATTTTGGAAGTAGAAAATGGGGATTTGGTTTTTAGCGTCACATGCTTAAATGAAAAGATGAACTAAAAATATTATCAATAAGTTCCGAAAAAAGTGAAGTTAGTACATATAAAAGACCTTTACTGGAATTGCACTAATTAAAATATTCATCATATAGGCCTAGCTATTGTTTCTGCCTACGGTAATACGGTAAACTTATTCTTTAAATGATCCTCATATCTAGAAAATTGACACACTTCTTTATTGGAACATGACAACCTATTCTGCCAATTGACATTTTTATCCATTGATCCATTTTCCAGATATTTAGGTCTGGGACCTTTTGGCCCTCAAATGCACTGCCGAATTTGGTTCGTCACCAACACTTAATAATTTCTTCCTTGTACCTTGGTTAAGCTTTCACGAAAGATTTATTCATATCAGTTGATTAGTTCTTGAAATATCTGGTCCGGGACGTTTTCCTTTGAATGGTCTCATATCCACACCCTACTCCGGATGGGTTATATGCCTACCTGACACTCTCTGTAATGTTCAATTATGCCTGTGCAGCCGTTTCTGAGATAATTTGAACACAAGAAACACACAGGACCTTAAAATTTAAATGACCCTCAAGTTCACTTCCGAATTTGGATCGTCATCAACATTTAACAAACACACACAAAACACGAAAATGTTACACACACGCACACACACACGCACCCACACACACCTACACGACTGAAAACTTATATCTCCTAGTTGAGATGATGATGACGATAATAATAATAATAATAATAATAATAATAATAATAATAATAATAATAATAATAATACTTTAATTAAAGGCTTAAGAGTGCAGTTGTATTAAAATTGATCGTCAGGAGTTGAACACAAGACCCTTGAATTTGAAGGCAGACATCTAAACCAATAACATAATACGACCTTACGCCATCTCAGCAAATTACGCATATCATAGTTCGCTGAGACAGTATTTGCACAGAGGTGGAAAAATCTAACATGCTGGTGTGCTTTATTGTTTTTATTTAATTAATAAGGTAATGCGAATGGATGCGGTACATCTTTCTACATAGCAATATAAATATGTGGAAATCTCTGAATTACAGATTGAATATTATTATTATTATTATTATTATTTTCGTTGAAATGTGTATTGACAATTCACTTCGTTGGCATTAATATCAAGTGGCCTACATTTAAACGACAATAATATTTTAATGTCAGGGCTAATTGAATATATTACTGTTAGTACCTCATATAGGCTTATTCGTTCATTGATATAAGCCTTTCATGAATAACATCAACATTTCTAGATTGTGGCAGTACCTAAACTAATTTTTTATATAGCCATATTTTTATTACGTTTAGAAAACGACACCTTTTCATCGATGCTGACAATACGCAATTGAAACTGATAAGCTGTAAGCGACTTAGAGCAAAACTTGCTTTCTTCCGAATCTTCACTGTCACCGACAAAAGACGATAGGAGAAAAATTGAAGCTTTATCGCCTCCGGTAGCACTCAAGAATACTAATTACATTCAAATCTCCTATTTCAAATTCATTTCCCTTTTAAATCGACGTGAGGTAAAGCCATACTACTTTATTGCACCGACGCGGTAGGATCAACGGCAGCGTTTCTCAGTAAATTGAATCGTTGATTTGAGAGTGGACAAAAAAAATAGACTTGTGGTGGAGTTGTATTGTTCCGAACGTTCATCGGTGTCTCCTGTTTTTCCATCTGAAAAGCTGGTTCATAATCCTGATCTCTTATCTAACCAGGATGGTTGGTGCTACGTGGGGATACTCTATGTTCCTTATAGCTCGCATTGTGAAGTATTTCTCGGTATTATAGGCTAAGTTTTGTACTTCCTTAAGAGTGTCACACTTGCACGTTTCATCCGAGTTCAGTTGTTCGTCGTTTCGATTGCTTTCAAGCTTCTAATGGACTACTTTGATAATTCTTATTTTATTTGCTTACGGAGTTTAAGCCGATTTCAACGATAAAGTCGGATCATTGTGTGCCACATGACACATTGTGTTTGGTCTGTAGCCAGTGTTACGTCAGGGAAAATGGTTGCATTGCTAGTTCTTGTTACATTAATGTACTCAAAACCGATACTTGGGGTAGAATTTACCGAACTATTAAGTGATAAGAATGTGACGGAAGGTAAATATTTTTTATGGAATTGCTACTTAGATGAACTTAAAAGCTACCAAAAATTAGAGTGGTTTGGTTACGATAAAACAAATCCCTTAATCACTTACAGTTATGAAAAGAAAACTATTCAAGCCACGCTAAAATTCAGTGAGGTATCTCGCACAGACGAGGGATTATACCATTGTGCCGTGGTAGATAAAAACAGTGGCAACGTTCTGAAAAGGACTAGGAAAGCCAAACTTACAGTTATTAAGGTGCCACTGCCCTCTTACCCAATTTGCGAAGCTAATCCGTTTTACAAACAGGGTGATCTGGCTGAAATATCATGCTGCTCTGAAAAGACCAAACCAATTGTTTCTTTAGAATGGACAAGAAACGGCTACCCGATTGGTGATTCAGACTTAATTCACGGTAAAGATGTTTGTAGTCGTTACAAATTTCTTGTCAATATTAATGACGATAATGTAATTTTTAATTGCACAATGTCATCGGTTATTTTGCTTAAGCCACGCAGCTGTACTGTAGGGCCATTAAATGTTAAATACCAACCGATAGTTGAATTACCACCCGTAAATATTACTATTGGAATCAGAGCCATTATTATGTGCCAGGCGACAGCAAATCCAAATGCGATCAAATACTCCTGGGAAACATCACCTCAATTTCAATACAAAAATATTACGGATCACGTGATGGTAATAGACAGACCAGACGTCAAGCTCAACGGAACAGTCATCACATGTATTGCTGAGAATGAGATCGGTGCATCCAGAAGCAGCATCATCGTAAAACTCCATTCAAAGAGTACGTCTACGGGACGCATCGGTTCACCTGCCACAGTCGACCCAATGACGGTTGTTAAAAAGTCGCCGGCAAACATTCTGTCTACGGTGCTTCTCATTGCCGGCTCTTGCACAATGGTAGCTCTTCTACTCATGATAACGCCACTCTGCTACTGCTTCTTCAGCCCTCGGCATAATTTTGATTACTTAGGACGTTGTGTGCAGCAGCCTGAAGTGTACTTCCAGGCGAAAGAGCTTCCGAGAGAGCACGAAACCCCGACACGTGTCTGGAAAAGATCATGTGCAACACAGGTTCCTGAAGATATAGCGTCATTTTACGCGGAATTGCCATGTGGTGACGATGACTTTGTAGACAAAGTATGATTAAAGTAGCCTGTCGAGATTTGTATTTTGTAAATAAAACCAGAATGTTCAAATTAATCTTTTAATGGGCATGAGCTTATAATGGCATGATTTCGATCGAGATGATTATTTCAACTAAATGCTAATAATACATTTACTCACAAACCTGTATTACAATCAGATAGCGATTTTATATGTGTATATCATATATTTGGGAGATAATAAAAATATCATGAATGCTACGGAATCATTTTCTTATTCATTTAGACACGACTAGGCCTTCTACAACGTATCCAAGAGAAGCGCGTATTATGTTGATATTATAACGTTTGAACAGCCTCCCTGGCCTGACATCACATCCAAGGGATCAAACAATATATATCGATAAGTTTTTACATAGGCCTACTATTCACAAGATGCACTTTTGTAACGATTAAAATATAAAATTGAACTCAAGAACATACGGACTCCAAAGTAACTAGGAGCAACATATCTGAGTTGTTCTTATTTCAACTTTATCTCATAAGACAACAAACAAAATAAAAATTACAATTGAAAACGGCGCTGAGAATGGATTCCGAAAAAGTAAAAAGAATTACTATCCAAGTTGGGCTCACTGATTATTCACTGATTTATGTATTTAATTTATATGTTCACAGTTCTAATCTAATTTAATATGTTTATATACTATCTGGATTTGCAATACTAATACTTTCTTGTGGTCTTAGTGGTATGTCGCTCGTCTTTAATAGCGAGCGGGTAATAATGTTTATGTGCAACGGAGGCACACTTTTCCCCGGCCCGTATTTAGTGGGGGGGGGGGGTTCGGGGGTTAGTCCGAACCCCCACCACCGCGGGAGATGAAGTTCCGTGAAAATTAGGAAGATTTTTTTCATTGCCGTTTTATTCTGTAGGCCTACAAAAGCGAGCTAAAACAAAAATAGTACATACATGTAGTTAGGGATCCCAGGCCAACTGTTTAAAATGAATCTTGCAGAATTTGATTGAGTTTAATAATAATTTCGGAATCGGAGGGTTCGCTAAACAAGGTATAAAAAAGTCTCGCCTTATTTAAAGCCCTAAAAATTTATATTTATTTATACTGTAAAAGGGCCTGAGGCCTATCACACTGAATAAAGTCCCCATTTAGGGGAGAGAAGTATGTGGGTTTTGATAAGGAGTTCCGCATAGTCCCAAGCCGAACCCCTCCATTGAAATTCCTAAATACGGGCCTTTTTCCTTACAACTGATAATAAGCTTTACGTTGGACAACTAAGCTTGATACGATTATACCATTATTTGTGCATACTGTATATTTTTATTGTTCACATATTTGTATATAATATTTATTGTTCGAAGTGCAACACAGAACATTTGATTTAATATGTTTACTATTCTTTCCAGTATTGTCTGGCCTACCTTAGTCTTATTATGTGAGGGCGTATATATATTAGCTACATGAGGGTATTGCTCTTGTTGATATTTGATTATGCAATATATATATATATATATATATATATCGATGATTAAACATTTACTGCATATTTTAATTCTATAATAGCTATCTATGGTTTACGTCTATGCACAATAGTTTAACACGAGTAATACAGTTGTTACGTCGCTAGTAGAGTAGTTGGATTTGGCTTTTTTTTTCCTTTACTGTTTAGTAGTTTATAATTATTGGCCTATATTAACACTAATTGTACATTTCGCAAGATAAAATACGACGGTACATATTCATGAGGTCTAATGAATTTGCATCGGTATTGCAGTACAGGTTTCCTGTATTATCGTAGTTGACAATTAGCTTAAATATCTGGTACCAAACCACTTCAAATTAAAGACCATTTTTCTGTGGCCCCGTTTGAATTCATATTTTTTTCTATTAGGTGTTTCCCTCCAATTAATTGGGATGTCGATCCAATTTGAGGTTGTCTATACTGTAGACGTACCTTGGTCACCCAAACTTTCATCCAACTGCTAATGTGTTCATAAATATTTCCATACTAAATCATCGACTGTTTTTATATTACTCATCTGTATCTATCTAGTTCCAAATACATTCATTTATGAATAAAAGTATCCAAGCAATGAAGATCCATTTTTAACTTTTGCCCTATTATTGTTAAGTATGCTAACATAAACAATTTAATTGTTAAGCGCTTTCTCTCACAGATTAACCTGTTAACATTAGATGTAGGTATTTTCTTCTTATTTTACTTTGTTTTGTAATATAATAATTTTGATAAGCTTGAAATGACCGCTGCAATGGACCATTTTGCTAAGCCTCCTCTTGGATAATTATTGCTATGGCTCCAAAACACAAAAGTGTAAAAATATTCGTAGGACAGCATGTGTTTCTGTGAGACAAGCGCGTTTTCTTGGCCCTGTTATGATTAATCAGTTGTTAAGTTTGAATTGAAAGCTGAAACCGAAACTGAGAACTAATTTTTGTTGTCTATTACCGGAGCCCAGCAAACTGACGCCGAGGTACCTGCGTGTACACGGTACCGTAGGATGGCGGCGACATCTCAAAAGCGGGGGTGCGCTTTTCCGCTTTAAATAAACGCCCCTCTGATAAATTTCCCCTCATTTCAACCTCATTTGGAATAAACGCAACCTCCACACCCCACCCCCTTTAAACGACGGTAAACAAGTCTAATGGAAGCATTATCGTTGTCAACACATTTGTAGTAATGTTCTACTCCAGTAGTAGTACATTGTTCTAACATGGTTTGGATCAATAGGTCTTTATGGTCACCCAACAATGCAAGGTAAACATGTGTAGTTGTTCCACATTTACAGTGACATTAATGGGTGTTTACTTGAGTATACGTATCCATTTTACACCCAAAAACATTACGCCTCCCTCGAATAAACACCCTCTTTAAAAGCTCTTTTAAACAATAATTGCCATAAGGCGTTTATTCGAATAAATACGGTATCTCCTTCGATATCCAGCAAGCTGAAAAGTGCGTGTAACAGACCTCTGGTAGACATTAGTGCTATATATAAAATCGTGAAGTCAGACACGTTAAAGAATTAAAGGAACTTACAGTCTACCGGCGTATCAAATCCAACACTTTCAATCTGCATAAACTTGGTAATGAAGCTGTGAGCCTGATAAGGTGTTCAAAACTTTGTTTACATATACTGAATATGATTTAGTACATTAATATATTTTTGTTTAAAATGCACCAACTTAATAAATCATATTTTTAATTATAATGAATACATAATAACGTATAAATTCGTTTTCATTATTAAAATAGTTTGCTAAATGGACAGTATATATAGAGCAGTTAAACTAGTGGTAGCCACTGTGTGTGCGCTGAGCCTGGGAAATCTTTGCTGCCTGGTTAAATTCTATTCGCTGCTCAATTCTATTCGAGTCTCTAATTAAATCAACAGATGTTTCACTTTCTTTTGCGCGCGTGTTTTTGAACAGTACTAGTCATCGATGCATCGCAAACAACGGATCAATATTATACTTGCTCATATGTTAAGCATTAAATCGACCAGCTGGGATCTCCTAATATACATATATAACAATTTAACATAGGGTACTTAGCTGCTAAAGTGCTCATTACTCTGTAGAGCATAATAATTATCAATTATCATATCGTTATCATTATTGCAATCGTTTGCTAAATGGACAGTAATACAACTTAGAGAGGAGTGTTTAAACAGTACCGTACTATAGTTCTCGATGCATCTCAACTAACAACGATACTCGCTCATATGTTAAGCATTAAAACTCTAATAATATAAACATATAACATTTTAACATAGGGTACTTTAGTATTAGCTGCTAAAGTGCTCAATACTATAATACTGTAGAGCATATAGTTTCACGCTTAATGGCGATCATCAGGCAATTGTGATTAGGTGTTGATGCTATTTATAATTGAGTGGAGTGGTCATGTGACTCTATTGTGTTTAGTACGGTCTGGTAATTTGTTGTTGTGGCGACACTTAGCAACTAGTTTGGTTTTGTTTATTTATTCAATTGCTTTGCCATTAGGATTGCTAGTATTTTTTTTTTTGCATTGGTTGCACACACGCACACACATACACACACACATATATATATATATATATATTGTATATAAATTTTATATATAATATATATGTTCTCGCATGGACAATATAATGTATATAAGATATATATCTGTCTCTTATACACATCT